ATATAATCCTAAAATGCTTTTAAAAATGTTCAAATCCAAACTAAACTTAGGTGAAAAAGGATACTAAAGATAACTCATTTGGATAGTTATCACACCCCCAAACTTAGATGTTTGATTTCCCTCAAGAAAAAAATGCATGAAATGTAAGGACTAACAACAATGCCATAGAATAACTTCAAGAATTCAACTAAGCAGATAAGTTTCTTGTTCAGCTCTTAGCCAATGGTGTAAAACATAGTTGTATTCTTGAATAAGGAAAATGCAATATCATTTCATCAAAATCATAATCATTATAGTGTAGTGTGTACGATTTAGGTGTATCCAATCAATACTTAGCTAAGTTAGAAAACTTTTTACCTAATCTATTTAAGATATTCAATGCTACAACAATATTCCCTCACCAATATTGGATTTCCAACTTGACCAACATTACCCAACTTATTTCCTAAGATTGATCATCATTTTTTTAATCATTACTATAACATCTAATAAAGATAAGAGATTTACAGATTAAAAATCTATAAATTCTCTAAGTATTGAAAACATACACCTAAGTGTAAAAAAACTTCTAAGGATCTTACTTTCGAAAAGATTGTGAAACATTCCCTATATAATTCCATATCAATTAATCTTCATCATCGGGCATCACTAAAATTCCCTTAACAACTTCAATAATTTCTACAAAATTATCCTATGACATTACCAATGCAATTTCTATATGCAAAACTATATTCCTAAATGCAACATTCAACTAATAATACACTCCTAAATCTAGGGGATGCATTAACCCTAATGCATGAAACATCAAAAACACAAACAACAAAAATTAAGAAAAAACAAACAAAATAATATAAAACATGAGAAAAGAAAGCAATACTCCTCTAAGTTGGTTTCTTGCTTGGGCTTTTCCGCAGAATAAGAAAATTTGGACGAAGATGCTTTACTATTGTTTTGTCCTTCATTGAGCTCTTCCTCTTCATACGGCCGACGTTTATGTGGATTTCGCCACAACAACATTAGAGACTAGAGTTTTGGATGTTGTAGCATCCAACTTTTTATTCATTTCTACTTCTGGTCTCTTAGTGCTTGTGACCTGTCCAATGGGAGTGATCTCAGGTGGACTCTTAGCAGTTAATTACTCGACAGTAGCGATGACATTCCTTATGATCTTCGTTGCATCCAATTTACGTTCATCAATAGTTGCAACATCTTCTGCAACCTTAGTTTTATTCAAATCTAATAAATGTACTGCAATTTGCTCTGCTACATTATTGTCTCATTCAGTGACCTTCTCTTACGACTACTCGTTGTTCACATTTTTTCTTCCTGAATATCAACATCAATTGGTAAAACTTTAGTGTATTTTTCATAATCCACCTCCTTTTCACTGTCCTCTTCATCTTAATCACCCTCAACTTCCTCTTCTCCTTCAGACGACTTGGTATTCGTGGCCATTTATTCTTCTGCACCACCCAACTGTGTAGCATCAGCACTTTTTGTGTTTGCTAAGTTATGGACAGCATCAGACATGGCTGGCAGCAAAAATCTTCCAAGATCTTTACCAGAGAGGCAGGGAACATCCCTTCGGCTTCTGTAAATACCTTGGCAAACATATTCTTTGTGGCTAGATCCTTATGCTTGGCATACTCCCAATAGTGGACCTAGGCGTTATGCATTTGAGATTAATTCTGAAGAGTGTAGCTTAGTAACGCCATGATCTGATCTTACTTAGCATTGACAGTTACTATATCACTCGACAGTTCCTCCAGAGTATGGTTATCAATAGGACTGGATGGCTCGCCATGAGCTTTATTAAGGTTTAGTCCTTCCTTCAGTAAAGTTTGACTCAAAGCAACAGGGATAATCAATATCTGATTTTCTATAATCTAGTTAGAAGACAAAGAAACCACTTGTTCTTGATAACACAGTGAAGTGATTAAAGATGGAAAATATAAATAGCCTAAAGTCTACTCGACACAAGCAAACATTTCAACAGAGATAATTTTCCCAATATCGATCTTTCTCCCTGATAAAATAGAGTGAAAAAGAAAAATCTATCTTGAATAATTATTAAAAAATGCATAGTGGACATTTAAGGAGTTATAAGAAAATAAACCATACCCTAGCATCCCAATGGAGATTAAGTCGCTTGATGGTTCAAAAACCAATTATTGATCTTGTCCAAGAACACCCCGGGTAAACAAACATCTCTACCCACTTTCTCTAATCCTTCGACATTTAGATTTTCAACAAACACCAAATGCTCGCACGACTCCTCGGTAATACTCAACAGTGTATTGATGGGTTTTCCCTACCAATTGACTATTTTTTTGGGGACAAACACCAATTATTTAGTCTGATCGGTGAGGCTACTATAAAATTCCCAAACCACTTATTTTTTTATATCATCGGCGTGGTCACAAAAGTTTTCCCATCCTCGCTGTGTGATCATTTGGGAAATGTAGTAAAAATATAGGGTCCTCCTCAGTATATAAATCAAAACCTTGCTCATAGAAAAAGTCTTGGTCTAAAAATTATTCTTCATATCGTTGCTTCTGTTGTTCATCTATAAATTTTGTGACATCTTCCAATGAAGGACCTCGTGCAGTGTAGGTACGATAATAGATAGAGTAGGTGTATGGCCAGATGACTTCGAATTCTCTTTCTTCTTAGGTGCCATGGTTGACCTTGGGTAGAAGGGTTAAAGTGGAGAAAAGGAATAACAAAGAGTTAGAGAAAAAGGGAAAGTGAGTGAAGGTAAAAGGGTGAAGTAAATGGGAGTATATGGGTAGCGTGAAAAAGAGGATAAAGGTTTTAAAATTTAAAATTTTAGTGTGGAGGGATAAGGTTTTTATTTTGAATGGGTGGTTATGAGCCGCAATAAATTTTATCATAAAAGAGATATTATCAGCCAGGTACTGTTGTAGCTTCAGTAACAACATTGGATGTACACCAAACTGCAAAGAGCAGTTCAACAAAGATGAATTGGTAGAGAGTGGAAGATACTACATATGTATTAGAAGAAACCTATACAAAAGAAAATAAAAATAAGAACTTGAGAAAAATAGATGAAAAGAAATTGACTTATTCAAAATGCAAATATTAAAAAAGGAGGGGGGTCGCTTAGTGTGATTGAAGCAATGCTAGGGCATTATTTCTAAATGTTGCCCATTGAATTTAAAGTGCTTTCATCCACTAAGTTCTTTAGTAACACCATGCCATGAGGGAAACCTTCAAGAACTTCAAAAAGACCTGACCAATGAGAACGCAACTTTCCAGGAAATAACTTCAATTGCGAATTAAATAGCAAAACTTGTTGTCCAGTGATGAATTGCCATGGCAAAATATGTTGATCATGCCATTTCTTGATCTTGTCTTTATAGATGTGTGAACTCTAATAGGCATTGTTTCAGAGCTCTTTAGGTTCATTAAGCTCTAGCATTCATTTTTCGCTAGCAGCATCTAGTTTAAAGTTTAGCTTCTTCAATGCCCATATAGTCTTATGCTCCAGCTCCACAAGTAGATGACAAGCTTTGCCATAGAAAAAAAGATAAGGGGACATCCCTAGTGGAGTCATGTAAGTGTTCCTATAATCCCATAGTGCTTCTTCAAGGTGTTGTGACAAATGTTTTCTAAAAGGATTCACAACGTTTTCAAGAACTTGCTTAATTTCTCTATTAGATACCTCGACTTGACTGATGGTCTACGGATGATATGTTGTAGCGATCATATATTTTACACAATATCTGATCAATTTTCTAGAAACTTGATTTCCATTGAATTGGGATCCTTCATAACTGATAAATGCACGGGTGTTCCAAAGCGAGTGAAAACATTTTGTGCAAAAAATGTAACACCGCTTTAGCATTATTGTTCGAAAGGCTACAACTTCCACACATTTGAAAACATAGTCAACAAAAAATAAAAGAAAAAGGTTACCACATGAAGATAGGTAAGTACCTATAAAATCTAATCCCTAGACATCAGAAATTTCAATTTCCAGGATAAGTTGCATTGGAATTTCATTGCGCTAACAAATATTAGTCGTTCACTGACAACGATCAAAATGTTTTACAAATTCATTGGTATCTTAGAAAAGCGGTGTCCAATAATATCCACACTAAAGAACTTTCACTGTTGTATGCATACCACCAAAATGACCTCCATATGGGGCATTATGGCAATGTTATAAAATGTTGTTCACATATCATGAATACATCACTGCGTGAGTTGATCATTGCATTGCTCAAAAAATATAATTTTTACCAATTGTATTGCCTTGCATCCCTCATAAATTTTATATTGGCTTGATAATTAAGATCGTGTGGCATCATTCCACTAACTAGATAGTTGGAAAAATAGCATACCATGGTAATGTTGTGGCATTAAACAGTCTGTCATCAGCAAACTCGTCTCGAATTACTAAAATGCTATCATCCTTGCTACCATATTCTAACGAATATAAGTGATCAACCACTTGATTTTTAGATCACTTCTTATCCCGAATCTCAATATCAAATTCTTGGAGGAAGAGTACCCATCAGATCATGCGAGGCTTTTTATCCTTCAATAAAATGGAGAAGATGATGAGTTGCTGCTGGCATTGGAGTAGGACATCCAAATCAAAATATGGATTATCATAACCATCCTATCCACAAGCATTTATTACCGACGCTAGATGATATGCATCTGGGCATTGTGAGGCCAATGATTAATGTTGTGAACTTTGAGTTAAATCCAGTTATGTTCCAAATGTTACAATTTATGGGATAATATAGAGGGTCTATTGCCATAGATCTTAGGGTTCATTTGAGAACCTTCATGAGGTTTGTGATTCCTTTATTCAGCAAGATGTTCTGGAGGAGGCACTGAAGCTGAAGTTATTTCTTTATTCGTTGTGTGAAAAGCACGAGCTTAGTTAAGTTCACCGCCATCTAGTGTTATAGCATCCTGGAATGAGTTAACGCATAAATATTTATTGTGATTCAAACATTAATGCCAAACTCTGAAATGATTTAACTTCATTCAAGAAAATGGATGATAAAAGCTTGTAAAAAGCATGAGAAATATTCAAGGATTTGTTGCGAAAGAGTCCTATGCATGGATTCCCCCATTGGACCCAAATGAGATGTTTTAAATTGGGTTAAACATACATACTCGAATGGTGGTTAATGCTTCAGCGAATGGAGCTTTTCTAGATAAGACATATATTGAGGCTTACGATATTCTAGAAAGAATCTCAACTAACGACTGCCAATATCACAATACGAGAAATATGTTTGGCCGATTCAACGCTGCAGCAGTAGATTCTGAAGCCTTCAACTCATGGCATCACAGATTTTAGCATTATCGGAAATGGTGAAGAAATTACAAAAACTATGAGGACTGTATAAATTCAAAGTTGCATCTCTCATCACTTGTTCTTATTGTGGAGATAATCAAAATTTTGATGAATGTCCCAAAATCCAGAGTTTATCTACTGTTTGAGGATTTATTAAGGAATGACAATTCTTTTGGCAACATATATAATTCCAATTTCAGGAATCATCCCAATCTTTCCTAGATAAGTCAGAATGTTGCGAGTCCACAACAACATCATTATCAATATCAATATTATAATTAGTATAACCTAATGCTGCAGCCATAAGCACAAGATCCAGTTGCTCAGCCATAACAAACAAAAACTTATCAAGGTCAAAATTCAAACCAAACTTCAACTTTATCATTTCTTGTAGCTTTGATGAAAGAATATATGGTGAGTCAATCAAACTCGTTAAAGGCTCTGGAGAATCAGATAGGACAAATGGCAAATGCTCTTAATAATCGATTGCAAGGAACGCTTCCTAGTGGTACTGAGAATCCAAAGTAATATTGTAAAAAGAGAAAAGAAGTTGAGCATGAGCCACCTGTGAGTTATATCATAGAATCAGATGCTGAACAATGTAGTAACTCAGATGCATTAATGACGACAACACTTACTACATCTGATGCTCCACCTACTTCAATGCCTTCGTAACAACAACCAAAAATACCTCCACTATTTCCACAACGCTTTAAAAAGATAAAAGAATATCAATAATACAATGCTTTTATTGATTTCCTTCACCAACTCACAATTAATATTCCGTTGATTGATGCTTTAGAACAAAACCCGAACTACATCAAATTCATGAAGAAAGTTCTTTCGAAGAAAATAAGAATCGATGAATTTAAGACTGTCGCTCTTACCAAGGGTTGTAGTGTCGTGGATACAAGTCAATTTCCACTAAAACTTAAAGATCCATTTAGTTACATTATTTCTTGTAATATTGGTGACACATTTTGGGTGCTAACATCAATCTGATGTCATTTTCAATCTTTAGGAAATTTGGGAGACGTGAAGCAAGGCCTACTACGATCACTTTACAACTTGTTAATCGCTCTATCGTGCATCCTAGTGGAATTTGTATGCTTTTGAGAGTAGACAAGTTCATTCTCCTCACAAAGTTCATCATTTTGGATTATGAAGTGGATAAAGATGTTCCAATTATTCTTGGTTTACTATTCCTTACCATGTGTCACTCCTTAATTGATGTTGAAAAATGAGAATTAACTATGCGTTTCAATTATGAGCATATTACTTTTATTGTTTAAAATGATATTTCTTTTGTCAATGACAGTGTTGAATGTTTCTCACTTGATACGATTGATTTTTTGCATAGGAACACTAGGAAGAATGCAACATCATAGATAGTGCCACCAGCAAATCGTTAGCAATTAGGGAATTCTTTGACGATACCGAAGATGAATGCTCTACCAATTATCTACAGAATAGTACCTCTAGAAATGCTTGATTATGTTAATTGAGCACCAAAGTCATCTATTGGGGAACCACCAAAGCTTGAATTGAAATCTCTACAAGAGCCTTTGAAATACGCTTATCTTAGAGAAAATGAGACACTACCATTCATTGTGCCATCATAGGAAGCTCGGTTAATAATATGATGAAACAACAGAAGAAAGTTATTTCATGTACCATTTTTTATATAAAAGGTTATTAGTCTATAATTTTGCAAGCACAAAATTCTTTTGGAAGACCCTAATAGTATCTCAATTGAACATCAGTGAAGGTTAAATTCAATCATGAATGAAGTGGTTAGAAATGCTATACTAAATGGTTGGATGATGGGATTATATATCCAATTTCAGACATCAATTGGGTCAATCATATGCAATCAATCATGCTTGGAAATGATTCTACAACCTCAATAACATCAAACTCCTTCATCAATTCCATAAACCCTAATATGAACATCAACCTAGAATTTGATAACTTTGAACACAAACCAAATTAGCAAACAATAATGGTACCAATTGATAGCGTTTTTCGAATAGAATAATTTTCTATTTCACGACATGATCCAAAATCCAGAGAAAATTGCTCAAAAATGAAGAATAAAAATTCTCTTACCTTGTTCATGGATAGCACACAATGTTGGATGAAAATGAATAAGTTTTCATGAATTTTTAATGAATTTCATGTTAATTTACCTTATATTAAGCTTAAATGAATAAAATATTCATTTAATTAGAAATATCCAATTTGCCATTAATGAAACTTGATATTTACCTTAATACCAAGCCACATAAACCTTATCATCTTCCAAAGTCAAAGGTCGACAACATATTTTTCCCTTTACAACTTTACCTATGTCATTTTCCAAAAATTTCAATCTAGCCATTTTTCATCCAACAGTCCAAAATGAACATGGAAATAAATTCTCAATTCCAATGCTCCATATTATTTTCCATCATTTTGAAATGTGGAAATAATATTTCTAAGATTAATTTATCATCCTTCAAATTTTTCTGAAATTTCTATCTGATCCGATTTACCGAATTTTTACTGGATTTTAACACTTTCCAGTTTTTAACACAATTTCTAGATCAATAATTTGATTTCAATAAAACCCACTCTTAATAGTAAACTATCCATTTATGGAATAAAAAAATCTTTTTTTGAGAAAATTACCATTAAGGTCCCTAAACTTTTCCAAAGTTTAATCTTTGTAATTTAACTTTCAAAGTTTACATTTTGGTCACTAACTAAAATTTTTGGTTATTAAATTTATCACCTTAATAAAATTTTCCCTGAATTTTCAATACATACCTGATGTAAATAGACGAGGATACTATTTTTTCATATATTATTTTCTTTTCCGAATAACTTTTTAAACCTTTGGTTTCTCTATCGAACTTTAATATGTACTGGCTCTTTTTCATAAGTCAAATCTGGTCGAATCTCTATTTCCTCTGGGGTGATACTATATGAAGAATCGGATTGATACTTCTTGAGCATCGTCACATGAAAAACATTATGGATCTTGTCAATTTTCAGAGGCAATTCTAGGTGATAAATCATTGATCCAACTTTCTTTTCTTTTCTTTTTTCGATTAGTAACTATCTTGAGATTATCTTAATTTATTTTCCCATTACAAGGTCCATTTTAACTCGTTCCTATTCCCTCTAAGGGATAGAAATCAGTTACAATAATTCAAAAGGCACTTGATGATTTACTTTAACTCACGGACATGTCAGCCATTTAGAAACAAGCTCAATGATAACTTTTTTTCATAACTGCTTCAAAACTATTTACTCGATAATATCAACACTCACCAGACTTAACCTAAAAGTCTTTAGTTTCTCCTTTTCCTGCTTGTTCTATTTTTGACAAGCACGACAATTGTCATCTTTTCTCTTAAGATCCTTTATTTGATCCAGCAACATAGGCTTTAAATTTAATTATACAATCAAAACGCCATGTTTTTTTAAAGACAATAGCGTATCAAAACTCTCATAATAGAAATGTTTTTCTGGTTTATCATATTAGCCACCACATTAACCTTTCCTGTTTGTAGTTGATAAGCATGTACTCCTTTTAGTCAAGACATACTTTTTACTTTTGAGATCTGTATAGATATAGCCTCACTCACCATATAGATAATGATGTTATATTAACAAAGTTTTTACAATTATTCCAACTCGAGATCAGCAGTCAGATAATTTCTTTCATGATTTTGTAGTTTCTTTGAAGCATAACCCAAAACTGTTCCCCTTGTACGAACATGCATCCCAAACCATTATGAGACACTTTACTATAATTCACATAATCTTTTCCAGATTCTAATTATACAGACCTTGAGCTTATGTCAGTATTCTTTTTAACATCTCAAAGTTTTCTTGGCACTTAACAGTCCGAATGAATAACATGTCTTTCCTCAATAGTTTGGTCAGAGGGAATATAATCATCGAAAAGTTCTTTATGAACATTCGATAGTAACCAGCAAATCCCAACAAAATATGAAATTCGAAAACATTCTTTGGAATTTATCATTCGACATTATCTCATACTTCCTTTCTATATATTCTTATTCCATTAGTTGAGTCCACATGGCCAAGGAATACAACCTTAGAATACCAACATTTACACTTGGTCAACTTAGCATGCAATTTTTCTCCCGAATAGTTGGAAGAGCTATACATAAATAGACATTGTGTTTTTCCTTTGTCTTAGAACAAATCACAATAATATCAATGAACACTAACACCAATTAATCCAAGTATAACTAAAATACTTGATTTATCCAATCCATAAGTGTCGTAGGAACATTCGTTAAATCAAATGACAGTATCGCAAACTCGTAGTGTTCATATCAAATTTTGAAAATTGTCTTAGGAAGATATTATTTTCATTTTTAACAAATAATATCCTGGTAGGAGATGTGACTTGGGAGACACCAATACACCTTTTTAACTGATCAAAAGATTATCAATCCTCAGAAGAAGATACTTATTTTTCTTTGTTACCTTATTTAATGGACGATAATCCATACATAATTTCATAGACTCGTCTTTCTTGTTCACAATAACACTAGTGCGTCCCAGATGACATGCTTAGTCTTGTAAATTCTCGTTCTTAACAATTCTACGAACTATGCCTTTAATTATCTGAGCTCGATCGTAGCCATTCAATACGGCTATAGAAATAAATACAATACCGAGAAGCATCTATGTTTTACTTTCTACATCTCCATTTAGAGATAATTCAGGTAACTCTTGCAGTTACA